AAATTAGGAGTCAGGGGTGAAAGGCCAGCACATTACTGGCAGCCCATTTATCTAGAGCACAGCACTCTCAAGTTGCTGCCCCGAGGAAGCCCATTGCATTAGGTGGGGAAATCATGAATAGATACCAGTCTATATTGTGGCAGTCACTCTCCTTAGAAGCTGCAGCGATTGGTACCTATAAGTGGGCTAGGTTCATTGAAGTTTGAGGGTTTACGTGAAAAGTATCGGTGAAATAGTTTTATATCTGGCAAACATTCTAATAGGAGTCTCCCTGGAATAAACTTTTTTTTTTTTAATAAGGACATCTTAAAATTTCTTGGCATGTGTCACTCTTAGTGGCATTGAATTCAGATTTGAAAGGAAATCTTGCTTCTGATTCCATTTTTAAAAACACTTCTGTATTGTTTTGGGAAACTCTAGTGTTTCACATAATTACATTGGCTTCAGCTCTATTTAACCAGAACCCTATGACTATTACTAGAGTAAAACTGTCATTTTAATATTGCTGATTCTTCCATTTGTTAATTCTTCATGCCTACGGATGGATGACTAGGGGATTATGATTTAAGACTAAGCATAATTGCTAGTGTGAATGAAAGTTAAAGGGCAAAATTGTCCACAAGTTATATATTAAGAGTACAGTTAACTGTACAGTAAAGCATTTGTCATAGGGAATAAAACAAGCTAAAATAAATAAGTATTTGGCAGGAATATTAATTATATTCCCTTAAAGATAATTGATGATATGAAATTTGGGGAACTTCCAAGATTGCTTAGCTATATATGTTGAAATTACATATGATTACTTTGAATTTAATATCTGAAGGCAGTTGCAGTATAAGTTATTAGATTTCGATGAGCAAGCCTGTAACTGTTCCAACATATCCATAGTAAATGCAGTTCTGAAGCAGAAAGAAAGTAATTAGCTGTTGGATCTGTTTACCCAAGAAGAAAGAAGCAGCTTTCTGCAATGAGTTGTGAGTTTATAATATAATGGAATTTATATTTTTAAAATCAGTGTTTAGAATAACTTCTGGGTATTTTTTTCTGATTGGTCATTGTCAATGAGGGAAATTGCTGTTCGACTTTTGTAGTTGTATAATGTTTTGCATCTCAGAATTCCTTAAAGTGTAGATAACCAAAGCAAAAGATGAATAGTTTTTGTGTTGTTGTTTTTTTAAGGAACTAGGGATTTTAAGCCTGAGCAAATTTTGAAAAGCTAATCCATAAAAAGGAGATTTGCCTTCTTGAGCATAAATCCAAATGGAAGGAGGCAGGTCAATGGAGAAGTTACCCAGAGAGAGATTATTCAGTAAGTTTCAGATACAGCTTCTTAATAAACTGGGTGCAACCGTGACTGAGTTGTCATAGGGCCGTGTAGTGAATGTTCTGTCCTGGACATTTTTAAACAGAGGTGAAAACCCTGTCAGGGATATTTTATAAGGGGAGACAAAAACCTACACTAAATCAACACAAAATGGCTATTCAAAATATGAGCATCTGTAAATCTAATTTCTTCTCCATCCTTGATCTCATTTATGAGGTGTGATGCCTGCTGTGGCAGTAGATTGTGTTAACAATTATATTGATGGTTGAATGCTGACATAAAGTTTAACTCACTCCCTCCTTATTTTAATTTCATTTTTATCTATCAGTGAATGTGATTGTGTTCACCTTCTTAGCTATGTTACCGTGTGTTTTTTAATAAAAGAAAGGAATATAAAGGGGCCTTTTGGAAAACAACCATTTATCCCATCAGTACCATAGATTTCCTACCATATGCAAACACCAGAGGCAAGGGGCAGAGTGTCAGAATTCATCATGTTGCCCTGCTTTTGCTTTATTCCTTTTATCCTTTGATCTCGGTAGCCCTGACAACAGATCATCCTGAAATGGGAAGTGCTGACCAATCACAAATAGATAGCTGAAGATTATCCTAACAAATGACCAAAAAATATGAATTCCATTATATTATAAATTCATAGCTCATCCCACAAGACAAGGCATATAAGTAAAATAAATGCATTAATTTGTAAATCATTTATGGCTGAATTCAGGCTAGTAACAGCATCCTTTTGGCTACTACCTGGGCTCAACCATAATTCTTGGCAAAGGTCACATAATTTTTGTCTTAAAAATGAGGTCAGCAACATACCCTATGCTTGTATGCTACTGGATCAACTTTTCAAATGAAGCTCATAACCGAAAAGAAAGTAATATCAGAAAAGATCGAGTAAATGAAAAAATTAGAAATCAGCAAGACTATTAAAACCAAGCCCATCATTCTGAAGACCACTTAGTCCTAAGTCCTAAGACTACTTAGGTCTCATTTCTTGACTGGAGCATATTCATTAATATACTATTTTCAATTTATATGTTATGATTTTATTAGGCCATGTGTTATGGGCATTCCAGTCCATCAGAAAAGATAAGTAAGGCAACTTTGTTCTATACCTGACGTTTCACAGCCTTCTTATGTAGCCTGGGCATTCTATATTGTAATCTTTATTCTATTAATATATTTGGTTGGTGAAATGTCATCAAACTTAATTTTTTTCTTAACTACTGTATACATTTTCAATCATTTCTCCTTGAGAATAACTAACATGGGCATGTTGGCAACAAAAGAACTGCCATTTCCACCGTTGGTCACATGACACTGCTTCTTTTCGTCCTGTGGGTCTGGCTATAGAGACAGCTGCTGTGAAGACCAGGGACCTTCTGAGCACTCAGCTGGTCCCAGGTCCCAGTATTTGAGGCCATATCAGTGATTTCAGGCTTTAAAACTCTTATTTTGTGCCTTTAGCCTTTGTTTTTTAAAAACTAACACATCAACAAAATTATTAAGGGAGCCTACTGAATGCAATGCTCTCCTTGCTCTATAAGTGCTCAACAAAACCTAGGATGAGGCTAACTGCAGGGGCTCTGTCCCCACCCCACACCCCACATGGAATAACTATCATGCAAACCAAACTCCAATTAAAAAATTCTTCTTTAGACCTCACTCTCTTTCATATATTGGACTTCTAAGCAGCTGTTGTGTGCATGGGATATTTAGATATAATTCTATTTTATTATTTATTTTTAAAGATTTTATTGGGGAATTGGGGGAGGGGAACAGTGTTGGGGAATCAGGGAAGGGGAACAGACAAGCTGCTGTCCTTTTGTTCTTCAGTTTAGTTGTGTAGGACTTTGCTTCACTGGCCCATGTTGGTATTATCATTGTACCCTTCCCGGGTGAGGCAGTTGCTCGCTGGCCATTGGACAGATGCTCACAGTGACTCATGGCAGCTCACGAAAGCTGCCACTGCTAGCCAGCCCCACTGCAGCCTACACCATCGCTGGTGACTCACAGCAGCCCAGCTCCAGGTTGAGCTGTTGTTCACCATCTTAGCTGTAGAGGGTGCAGTGTCACCGGCCCTCATGTGGGGTCCGAACCAGGGCCCTGCTGCTTAGAGCTGGCGTCCCAAGCCAACTCTTAACCAACACGCCACTCGGCCAGTCCCTAGATATCATTTTAAATGAACAATGGCAACCTAATAGAAATCGTAAACTAAGCTCTCTCCCTACTTGAGGCATCTGATAAACACTTCACTGAGACACGTTCTCTTGCTGAGCGTTGTTTTGGGAAGCGACAACAAAGTCTGCTGTTTGTGTAAGGGCGCCCCTGATAACATCTGGTAAGGAAACGCTCCAAGAAAAATGTAGGATTAAAGTCATCCCTCCAGAGGTTCCGTAGCATAAGAACTGGAGCAAAGGGGAGGTGAGGCAATTGGTAACATGTCTCAGCAGCTCAATTGGGGTGAAGGGCACCATGGTTTTCAGCCCTTCTGCCATCTTTTGGATGGATAAGAATGTGTTCACTAAAACTTTTTAATTTTGTTTCATTTCCAACACTTGTTTTCTCCTCTTTGGGGAGGTTATTAAAAAATGATTTTTGAGGACTTTATTAAACTGTTCACTCTAGCATTTCATGTAGACACTGGGTGTTTTCTAGCTAACTTGGACATCTAGAATTCAATGACCTTCATCTTCCGTTCTGTATTTAGTGCAGCGTTTTCAGTCAGTTACACTGTCACCATGGTCAACCATCAGAATAAAAAAATCTTGAAGTGTAATTAGCAATGACTTCAGTTCCTGAATGTGCAACAAATATTCTGTTTATGGGTGATCTCACTTGTAGGAGGGAACAGTTTCACCTCTAAATAAAAAGGTGACTGTGAGGTTGTCCATTTGTGACATGATTGGTGCAGTTAGGCCCATGGCCCATGTGCAGTTGAAGCTGCTGCTCTCAAAAAATGAACTATTAAACTAAGGTCTCATTGCACATTCAAAGAAACACACACACCAGAAAAAGGTGTGGGTTGGATCTGTGTTTCAAGTATTGTCGGTACTATTGGCTTAGACATGTTCCCTTTATTGGGTCTGTTTTGCAAGCCTAAATTTGAGCCTGAAGAATTTCTCCATATAAATGTCTTAAGCATTGCAATGGCACATCCATCACATTTTTGCTTTTGAATTACAAAGATAACCTTAAGATATGAGCCTTATACTGGGCAATGAGATACATACCCAGAAAGGGTGAGCCGCCTTAGTGATGAAATCAGCCAGTGCCCAAGAGGAAAGTAATAGGCAGAGAGGATAGAGTTGATGAAAAAATTGATTCTTTTCCATTAAACTGTACGTGATGTGTTTTTTATGAAGCAGGCATCAGCTGAAAGAGAAATATTTTTTCAACTAAAAATAGCTTGATGGTGAGGGAGAGGGAAAGTATGTAAGGGATCAGGGGATAAATATGTGTCTTACTGCATTACCATCTCAAATTATGAGAAAGTTGGAAAGCTTCCCATTGTGGTGACTTCAGATGTTTACTTGAACTTGGTGCTATTAAAGCTTTTTAAGGTTAATAATGGCTCTGCTTTTTTTTTTTTTTCCAAATACACTTGGACTTCACCCATCATTGTTTTCTCCATTCTAAACGTTATGTTGCTTATTTTCAGGCTTACCAAAGATGCAGGTCATTAGGAACTACACCGGGACGCCACCCCCCGCTCTTCATGAAGGACCCCCATTACACATCCAGGCAGGGGACACAGTCGAACTTCTGAGAGGAGATGCACACAGTCTGTTTTGGCAGGTATGATCTAAATTACATTTCTGTAGACTTAATGAATGCTCTATTACCATGTAAAGAATAAAACTCGTGTCTTAAACTGATTGCATGGTTTCAAGTTTCAGAAATTTTACATGATGTGGGAAAAAACATTTTTTATTAACCTTCCTCATATTTACCAATGCCAAAGTGGGAACAAGCATTAGAACACTGAAGAAAAATAATGTCAGTGCTGTGAATAATAATTACCATTTTTATTAAAAATTCATATTTTGTGAGGGCATTTTTTTTCCCAAACCTAGGACCTGTGGATCTGATCTAATTTGCATGACTGTAATGTAGTAACAGTTCACGTAAGGGGAACCACCTAATTAGCTTGCCAGTTGTCATTTCCGGCCATATTTGATTTGTCCCTACCCACAGTATTACCTGAGATTCTCAGAGGTGCTCTGGGCGTTATTCATGAAATCTATGCAATGTGAAAAGGAGCATGTTGATGCTCACTGGTTACGCAATCTCTCTTGTCCAGTGAGCCTGTATTTGGTTTAAGGATTTTGTTCACTGAGGCACATACAGCGTAGTGTTAAGATTTGATAAAGCTGGATGGTAGAACACTGCTGTTTATTAAGTTATTCTTTATTTTTATGTATATTATAGATCTATTTTTCAACAAAGTTAAAGAGTTTGCTAAAAATCTATAACACATAAGTGAAATTGAGTTAGGGGTAGAGAGATAGCAGAGAAGGACTGTTTGATAACATTCCATCATGTACATGTGTAAATAATACCTATTTTATTTTGAGTAAAACTGTCTTATTATCTGTCGTCTTGTTACAGAATGCCCCTAGATTGAACATTATCTTCAATTACTTCAGTTGCTATAACCAAAGACTTTTCCAAAGCTCCACCATTCTTCAGTATCCTATTTCTCTCCTACCTCATCCTTCCTCAAAAAGCAAAAGAATGACAGATGTAAATTGTACTGACTCTGCAGTCTGCTCTTGTATCTCCAACCCGTACCTGCATTTGTACCCCTAAAATTCCTCTTATTCAAGACTTAGTTTTCTTCTTGGATTTTCCATGTCATCTTCCATCAGCTGGCTCTTGATCCTTACATTTTCAAGTTCACTCTCTCCATTGACTCCATTTCTATAGCGTGTAAATGTGCTCGAGCTCCTCCCATCTTAAAACACTTATAACTCAACCTTTTGTCTGATTATGTCAGTCTTCCACTCCTTCGCTTCCTCTCATCCTCTGCCTCTCATTCCCAAAGCTAAGCTTCTTGAGAGAGCAGTCTACACTCATCCCTACTTCCTTCTGTTCTATTCATAATGCAGTCTCCTGCAGAAACTTTTTCTATTTGGATCACTAATGCCACTTTTTT